TCACGATCCTTCGTTTCAACACTATATCATAACTAACGTCGTTTATCGCGACTCTGCGTCAATTTTTTTTAGAATATGCATGCACGAAATATTTTTCGTATATATGTGAGAGAGAGAGAGAGAAAGAGAGTGAGAATAATGACAAGACCTTGATTACGTAAAGGTGGTCTGTCAGAAAAAAAGAGGTTTATGCATATACGTGATAATTTTGGTAACTATTTTTAGAGAACGAGGAAATACACACATACATACTAACACACACATCGAGCTGGTCTCTGCGTTTGACTTTTTCGTTACAGTGATAGCAATTGGTTTCATACTGTAACGAAGTTCTCGTAAAAGTAACCAAACGCACTCTGGCTCGCTTTAAATGTTTTTACTATCGTGACATCTTTTTGATATACATATATACATGTACGCGGTGGTAGTGTCGACACAACGTGCGAGAAGAGCATCGATTAATTGAACTTACGAGTTTCGACCATCGTTTGTCGTTGTTATAAAAACACACAGTAGCAACATTGTTTTGGCGAAAGCGAGAGAAATATTTATAGTTCGCTGCGAGCTCCTGCTAGTACTACTACGTAAAATCACTCTCTCACCGAGTCGCGCGAAAATAATTCTCGTCTCCGCGCGCGCCGCCAAAGCTACTTAGCATACAAAAATACACATCAAAAGCTTTTTGCGCGCGCGCTCCAGCCCGTAAAAAAGAAGGTAATTGTTTTAAGTTGATTATTTTTACATAAAAAAGCTGTGGAAGATGCGCAGCAGCGTGGCACAGCAGAGCAGCGAGCGAAAAAAAAGGGGCGGCGGTGTGTGCTCCGCGAGGCCGCTGAACTTCAGCTCGCCGAAGTAAACATTGAGAATCGGCGCGAAAGGTGAGCAAGTGGCGCCATCTGACCTGGCGTGCGCGCACGTGTGCGCCATACACTAGCGATTATGTTACACGCGTAGACGATGACGATTCCTCGACCTCCTCCTCGCGGAACGTAACGTAGCAGCGCTGCGCTACCTTGCGCGTTGTCTTAGGGATAATGCGTACGAATCGAACATAACCTCTCTAGCGACAGTTTTCAACGACAAGCCCAATCGTCGATGACTTGACCGGACTTGCGAGTGAACATGCAAGCTAAAGCATTTTGCCAATTGCTATATCGCAAAGGATGCAAAGAGATGAGAGCGTGAGAGAGTAAGGGGAGAGAGAGAGAGTGAGATAGGCGTAAAACGATTGCGAGATAGAGAGTAATAGTGGAGTAATGGACTCACCGTCGTTGCTGTGTTCCAGCTCGGCATTCTGGAAGTAGGATATATCTGAAAGCCAAGAGAATAGATAGGCAGCGTTAATGACATTGAGTTGTCGTTTGAGCCCTTGCGAGCTTTGATTTGTTATTCTATAGGCGGCCCTTTTTGCGTTGATAGAGCATAAGAGCCGTCCGGAGGCACACACTCACCCGCCATCTTGCAACAAACTCTGGCGCACTCTCGTGGGCACTGAACTACACATACGACATCACGCCAATTTTCGTCATCCGGCGAAGTTGCGAGAGACACGAAGAGACCTTTCGATATATGCGAGATTGCGTCGATTATCACGCGCCGCGTTTGAGTGCTTTTTTAAATTTTCTTTCATTGTGATAATGAAAATTCTTAGAATTTACGTTCGTCGTGTTACTATTTTTTTTCAAGAAAACTTTTACGAGAATCATGTTACAGTACTGTGGCACTCTTTTGATTCATTGGTCCATTAACTGATTCAAACATTAAATTTTTATTAATTACTATCTTGATTTAGATCGGAGTTAAATTTAATAAATAAATATCGAATAATATTAATTTCAATTTCAAGGAAAAGCTTAAAATAATAAGCTTTAAGGCATTTCTTCAAAACATTCAACTACTTTTCTCTTTATTAAAAATTTCATACTTACCAAAGTTTAAAAGGATTTGTTCTTTTTATTTTTTCATATTGTTTAATAGTTTAGCAGTTGACGATCAAATGTTTGTAATCCAGTAATAAGCATGAAGGTAGGATAAATAAACTATTTTCAACATTTTTAATTGAAACTGCCATTTGATCAGTTAAATAGCTAATTAAATTTATATCCGTTAAAACAATAACAATGCGCTCGTGATAGTTATAGTAATTCTGAAATGGTGACGCAAAGAAACGTTTATTTTCATTAATCAACCATTACGTGTAAATTGTACCTTATGCTAACTTTTACACAATAATTTTTAAAGAAAATAAAAGAAAACACTGTCTTGTTTATAGAATACTTTATCTACAAAATATTTAGTAGTTTATTCTAACAAAAATATTATTATTCGCCCTTGTAAATTGATTAGTTACACGCGAGCATCTAGGAAACATTCGTTTACAAATCACGCATAACAAATTCAAGCAAACTGAATATTAATTTCTTTACAAATCCATCAGTAAAATTTATGTACAAAATACCAAACACCATTGTACGCATACAACTTCGACGTATATGTCAAACGCGTCATCGAGAAAAAAAAACAACTAATTTCCAGGTACTATTTAGCTCTAAATAGCTAACTATTGAGTATGCGACGATATTATTAAACATTTTTCCATTGCTCTGGAGAAAGCAAAATTAATTGAGAATGTTTCCACAATAATAAAAAGAAGAAAATTTATCTACGCGATTGCCTCCATCTCCGAGTGAGATTGAGTAAATCTCGACGCAAATTAAAAATAAGTTGATTATTTCGAGAAAGAAGTTGATGAGGAGCCGCAAAATTTTCTCGACATTGGCGTTAGATTGATTCTCACTAACTGGGCGACTCTCTGTCTTCTTGTGTATTTTCGTCCTGCTTGCTGGTTTCGCTTTTCGATCTGAAAGAAATCAATTGCAAAGTTGAACACTCACTTGTTGTTTTATCTTAAATCTCAGCCACTGCGAAAAAAACTTCCACAGCGTGACTCATTAAAAAATAAGATACTCGCGATGTCGGTGGGGCTCTGCTTCGCGAAATTAAAAGAAAAATTCAAGAAATATTTGCGGCTGAATATATTTTATAAGACTACAAAAACTGATAGTAAACTCTCGCAAAATAAATTAATAAAATACTTGTTAGAGAACTTAAAACATAAGATGGCTGAGAGCAAAATAACTTATAAAAACGGTACGAATTATGAAATTATAAAAAGCAGTTATTAGAAATCTTCAAATATGTCGTCATTAGTTATCAATATTTCTGTATTATTCATCACTAAACATCACTGTTTGTTAATAAAAATCAGATAATATGAGTCGCAAAACTTTGATCATGTCACATGTGTATGCAGTATTTGGAATAATTTATTTGCTACCATTGAATAATGAACTATCATAAAAAACGAGTAAAGATAAAATCAATGGTATTTTCGAAATGACGACGAAGTATATTAGATAGGTCTTGACGATTTTGCAGGACTTCTTACACATATATAAATTCTAATTTACGTCTCGTACTCGAAATAGACATACATACGTATCTCCTATTGCTTAATTAACTTGCCACATTAGGACGAGATACGCCCGACAAATTATTCAGTACAGCAACATGTTTTTTGTTTGTTCGATTGCATGTAATATCAAGAAAATAATGTTTGATTTCATCGCCAGCCAATCATTCCTGAACAATTTCTATCGCATCTCTTCCTAAACGTTCCTTTAATCTTTAAAGTTCATTTTTATAATCCTATAAACATATACATTCTATCAGCGTTACGCTGTTTTACATTGAAAATAGCAATCGTATAGTCTCTTACAACGTTACACCGCTTATATATAAATACAGTAACTACGAAAGATTGAGTAGCGAGAAATAGATATCTCTATATTTGTGTTTTGTCCTTCCTTTACGAAGGTTCATTCTGCTACATGTATATACTTTTGTAAAGAACCTTGCAAAATAATGTCTTGAAATATTTAGAAATTTTATTGAGATTTATATTTTTTTTGTCCGACGTAATGTTTTGCCATTTCCTGAATTCTATTCGTGTACTGCTGAGTTATTACACGAAAAAAATGGTTTTTTTTTTCGTTTGCCACAGATTGAAATTATCACCATGATACTGAACACTCAAGAGTAATCATCCTCATCACACTAATCGATAAATTTGCATTGTATAAAAAATAATTCAAAAAATATCTGCCGAAACGTTAAGAATTTGGAATTATAACTGAACTTTTATACCAGTAAAGTCATGCGCTAAGTCACTGAGTCACATAGTTTATCTTTATTTATTTTTTTGTTTCTTCTGTTGTACGAGTAGGCACTTGGCTATGTTTCGGTATCATTATTTTTTCACTCCTTATCAAAGTGGTTCAGGTATATATTTGAAAGTTGTGTGCATTGAAAACCGTAGATTATCTGTGAATGACCTTTAAATATAATTCTTCAGGCACTCGGTCACACTGTTTTGCTTTTATTACACAACACGTAAACCATACGCTCTTGTACATTTTTCATTTTTGCTGTAATTACGTTTTTTTTTAATGTTTTTCTTGGAACTTTGAAGTAGCACCGTGTCTTCACGTATTATTTGTTATTATCTATTATCGTCTACCACTGAATTATTGAAAAAAAAAAAATAACGAGGCGCAATTAAACTGCTTTTTTAAAAGAAATAAATATTGCTGTTTATTTATCGAATATTTTCAACAATAGTTCATACAATTGTTCGAATAGTTTGTACAAATTGTTGAACTTTTCAATAATTCAGACTTAAATAAATTGTCCGTTTTAAATTGTCGAATTGATTAATATTTGGATTTCAATGTATCTCAATAGTAGCCGGCACTAATTTTCTCGCCACTCGATTCAACATAACATACTTCTCTTTCTACGGTTACACATGCGAAAGTTGTTTACTTAGGAATTATGAGGTTACTCTGCTACGTAGATATATATACACACACATACACATACATACATACATACGTGTGTGTGTGTGTGTGTGTTTGTGTGTGTGAATGATTCACTACACGTTTTATTCATTTATTTCATTTATTTATATAGAATAGAAATTGTTATATCCGTACTCAGTCTTTCAGTCATCTCAATCGATCGTATATTCCGAAATATTCTTTTGTTTCAAACGATTTTAATTTGAACAAATACAGATTACCTCTCGATTACAAAAAAATCATTAATTCATTCCAATATTTTTCGTTTGACCGATTATAGCATTTAAAATATCACGTTTTGCTTTGAACGACGAATTACTAGAGTTGGCCATTGAAACAATTTATTTATTCGAAAATTTGCCATTACTTTCGATCATTGTAATTTCATCAAATAATGTCATTATACCTATCAATACAGCTTAACATTTAAATACTTAAACCACTAAGTATATTTGGAACCTTAATATTAACATTCAATAACTTTCTGGTGAAAATGTCAGAAAAATCAAGTATATAAAATTCAAATTGATTTAACTCAGATAAAATTACGTTAAGATACGCCAATAAAACTGAGTGTTAACTAGTGCACTTTCTATATCTGTAACGTTACTTTATTATTATTAAAAAAGCAAAAAATCATAATAAGAACAACGTAATCTAGCACAAAATATTCAAAGCAAAATATCAAGTAACGATTATAAATAAAATATGTTTATGTCATAGTGAAATATGAAGTATGTAATGAAACAACTCAGTTTGTGTATAATATGCATCACAGTTGACAAAAACGCTATTTAGTATGCAAGTCGATCAAATTACAATTATCGATAACTAAATAATGGCAATTCATTTATAATACAAAGACCGACCAATCTCATGACTAAAAATTTCTCGTTATTTTTTGAGAAAAAAAAATGCGAGTCCTATCTTACGAAACACCACACGGATAAAAAAAGCCTTACGCTCGCGATGTCGGTCAACGATTCGCGTTTCTTGCACATTATTTATGCAATAAATTTGTTTTGTTCCGATTACGCATGCTCTATTATTTCAAGATGATGATCAATTTCAAAAAAAACGTACGAGCTAGATACTTTAATCAATGTACTGCTTTTTTGGTATTTTTTCTTTTTTTTTCATTTTCGCACATGCACAAACATTTTATACATACTTTCGGACGACGGTATTACTTTGAAAGACAGACCGAAAACAGTATCATTAACTTTGGTAATTCGAAAATATGAAAGAAACGACATAATTTTATCCGGATCATCTCGTGTTTCCTTTTTTCTCACGTTCGCCTTTAGGTAAAAAAATATTTTGCTTTTTTTTGCCCACTCTGAGATATTGATTTAAATTCTCTTTGTAGAACCTATAAAGCGAGATCAAATTTTAATTATGCACCACCGTGATCTCGAGGTTCCTGCGTATAATAATTAATAAACTCTTTGTTTAGCGCGTCGCCTATTATTTTGTTTTTTTTTCTGATTCGCATACAATTTGCGAGTATGTTTCGACGGTAGATTGTTTTTTTGAAAACTGGTTGTATATTGTTTATTGCGAATTAAATTATTTAGTTTAGATCATCGATTGATAAGAGCCTAATCGCGGAAATAAAGATAGCCGCAGATCCCACCGACAATGGCGGCAACTAGACCTAGTGACAGAGGCGAAAATATTGACCTCTTGAACTTCTGCCAGTCTTCCGATTCCTTCTGCCGGCGTTTCATATCACGCACTTGCGCTTCCATTCGTTCCTTCTTCTCCAGCCGTCTTCGGCGCAATTCGTTCTTCCTAAAGTTCGAAATTTGAATCATGAAATCCAACGATCCACTTCATTTTTTGAACTTTACAATAATTAAATCTGAATGAGCTTGTTTGTTGTAAAAGTAATACTTACGACTCCGGACTGGACGGTGGACTATTGGGTTGAAATGAATTTTCGTCGCCATCGCTTGAGGCATTTGAGCCAGAAATGTCATTGACGTGGTTCCCAATGTTATTTGAATTTACACCACCTGGTGGTTCACACGGCAATGGTTTGTTAGGTAGATTGCTTACAGTATTTGCTATAATTAACGGATATGTTCGTAACTATCGAGTGAAACGTTCGCATTTATTATTAATTACGCTCCGATTGTTTCGAACGTTTGCCTAATTGACGCGAAAGATAAGAAGATAACACATAATTAAAATAAACTGAAACAATTACCATTGTTTTCAATCTTAAGTGCCGTCTCTGTTATCATACAACTACGAGTTAAAGATTCGCCCCTCGGAGGTGGCAGAGGGGGTGGTTCGTCATCTTCATCGATTGACGAATTGCTAATATTATTTGCATTCTCGCAATGGTTGTTAGTAATAACATCATTGTTACCAAGAGTCTGCAAAACAAACACGCATATTAGTTTTTTTGAGTCAGTCTGGTTATAAACCAAAATTAGTGTATAATTTTACAATTAATAATGTTATGCTATAACTTAAACAGTAAGCCATTTATTATGGTAAAAAGCATCGTGACGTTACTCACCAAAGTACTCAACGGTAAATGTTTAGCCCCTTCTATTATAGCTGCATAAGAGAACCGCAACTGATCGGGCATTTGAATCAAACCCATTCGTGACTTCCGCATTTCTAGTAAAATATCTCTTACATTAACAGAATTCAAACCATTTTCTTCGATCTAAAATAATCAAATTACATATTTAAAATCATTAAAAGAAGACGACGAATAATATTAAAATAATTTTTCAAAACTTACCAATACCAGACAAGTATCCACCAAACAAAAAGTTCCAGAGCGTCCAATTCCAGCAGAACAGTGTACAATAGATGGACCAACGTTTTTATCCAGAACTCCTGATTCTCGAACATCTGCCAAAAATCTGAGAAATGCGGTGGGACTTTTGGGCACACCAAAGTCCGGCCACGTGGTGTAGTTGAAGTGTAGTATGTCCCTGCTCTCGTTGGTCTCAGTGTTCTTCAGTCTAATTAAAGAGAAGCCGACTATTATAAATATGATTTTAAACGGTTGAACGATTGATTTTAATGAGCTCTAAATAGTTGTGATGAAAGAAGTGAGAGCTTTTTGGCCGTCGACCAGATGGGATCGCCGAGGGTTGCGCATTTATTACGTTAAATGATTTTTTAACGAATTTATGAAATTGCTGTTACCTGAGTGTTGTAGTTGTGTAATCTGATTTGTTGATTTTAGTAATATATTCCACTTCGAGATCTAGATCAGGGAATTTCATCACGTGATCCGATGACTCTGCAAGGGGCCAGTATTGATGACATTTTGTCAGATGCTTTTCAATTACTTTGTTTAGCATTATAATTGCTTTGCTATTTTGTTCCCACACCATCAGCCAAAAGTGACCAGCTGTATTTGGCAGTGGTCCTTGTGTTAGAATATATTGTCTGTTTGCTTTGTCCATCTTTGGAAAGAATTTTCAACGATAATTCAAAAAATTTTTCAACTGATTTGTATTATATTTAAACTTTAACAGAGAATTGCATATGATCTATTATTATTACAATAAGTTTGTAAGTAGGCGATAAAATAAAAAAACTTGTTTTTCACAAAATATGAAGTAAATAAGTCACAACACAATACTTCACTTATTTTGTTTTAATAAAAAATAAATTACCTGTAAAAGATTGGCATTGATGTAGTCGGTCTGACCCTTTTTAAGAACAATCCGTGTGTGGTCATATGGCATAACATCTCTATATCTATTAAGACTTCTATTCTCTGGCTTCTTGCTTTCATTACATGTAAAGTCATAATTACTGCACTCGTTACGGATGAACTTTAAAATAATAAATATATAATTAGATCAAAGATAAGACGAATGGATGGGCTATCTTTTGTAAGCAATTTAAAATTTGAAATTTTTAAAATTCTTTCCAATTGTTCTATGAACTCTACCATCATAAAGTACTAATGGTAATTGATGACAAAAAATAGCACTTTCATAAAAGCTATTGCATAAACAAATTTGTTGTGAGTCAATATCCTTGGTTTGTTTCCCTTGAATTCCTCAAAGTGATACAGATTCTCTAAATACAGGATGATTATATTTATATTCTAAGAGAAACTATTTTTAATCAATCACACATTATAAATTAGTTCTGAGAAATGCTTATAAATACAATTACTCATGGGTTTGATCACTTATCAGAAAATTCATTTTTATTACATCCCAAGAAGGCAGCCATAGTTAAAGGTAAAGTAAAGAAGAAACAAAGAGATTATATGTGTCATGAAAAATGAGATCCTTATATAATGATTACTGATTATCACAATATGCAAAAGAAAGAGAGAGAGAGAGAGAGAGAGAGAGAGAGGGAGAGGGAGAGAGAGAGAGAGAGAGAGAAAGAGAGAGAGAGAGAGAGTGAGCTGTATTTACTAAGAAATACAACTGAAAGCCTTGCACTCCAAAACACAAATACCTCCTGAATATGACTCACAAGTAAGTCTTGTAGCAAGGACACAAAAAAGTAAAGAACTGAGCTATAAAAAGGGAAGAATAGCATAATGAAATTTGCAAGACCGGAACAGTGGTCTTTTTTACTGCAAATTACAGGATGACTAACATGCTACAAGTTTAAGAAATATGTGATATTTTTATAAATAAGTCATTTATCATAGGTCATTGACTCTTGACTCTACCCAGAAGGGCTTAGCAACCTGTTAAGGTATTTTAGTAACCAGAGAAGACACAAAGTTGATTTGCTTTGAGCAAATTGCATTATATCTCAGGCTTATTGGATTGAAACTTAGATCTTTTTTTACTCAATGTAAAGAAACAAGTAAGATACAGAAAACTTTAAAGCAACATAACTAAACAAGTGTTAATTAGGTATTCATATTCTGCAAAAAACTTCAAGTTCATACACAAAAAACACATTTCCTCATGTCACTCTAATTAAATTAATCATTACCAGACACGCACAGTCAGAGCTTGCTTCAAAACAATCCACCCACGCCTAATCGGTGAAAAGCCATTTCCGCCTCATCGGGCACCCACACACAGATACACACACAAACGAAAATTCTTTTTTGCTCTCCCCTCTGCCGTGTAAGCGTCAAAGCCATACCTGAAACAGCACCATCCAAGCGTTCTTGGAGTTGATCTCAAGGTACTCGGTCTCCACGTTACTACTCGGCGTCGTCTCGTTCATTTTCTTCCTGTTTTTTGTTTCTTTGGTTAGTCCCTCTTGTGACTTCTCCCGTGCGTCTCCTTTGATATACAGTTGTCGTATACGTACGCGATATATATACACACGTTGTTGTAGTATCTTCCAGTGAGAGATTGTTATATTTAAAGACGCGTCATCGCGTAACGTGCTGCGACGGACGACAGATAGAATGAGGCCACTGAGGCTATACGCCGGCCTTCGTTTTCTTAACCGCCGTTGAGCCCAACACAACTCGCAAGAAACCTCCTCGACGTACTCGTCGACGCTCTTCCGGATTCGGAATTTCGTTCGACGCGGCGGCGGCGCTCGTGATCGCACTCGTACAGTTGGAGGGGAGTTAATGTCAAACGGAGGGGAGGACAGCCGAGTATAGCGACATCTTTACCTTTTTCAGCGCTTTTTTTGAATTCCGACTTTAAGTTGCAACAGTAACAGTAATTTTCAATTTTATAACACCAACACTTACAGATGTTCAATTCATATGAATTTATAACTAATAATTTGATTTGGATAACTAATAATTATTAGCGACTGTACTTATAAATTTGATTATTCACGTAAAAATATCTCAAGTTCACCAATATTTTTCACCATTCGCTGTAAGTGTTCCATTTTGCCTGCCAATGACTCCAATTTTCTATGCTACATTTTAATGTAGAAAAGAAAGAAATCTATAGACTACGAGACTTGTCACGGCGTCATCGGCCAAAATGTAAACAAATACAAGAATTTAACCAGCGTTCGAGTGTTAATAAAGACATAACCTGAATTAGTGTATTAATTTCGTCAACAACTGTCACTTGGTGCCGGATCTTTTTGAAGTCTATAGATACAATGAGTAAAAAGCAATATTGAAATTGTTGTAAATTACTTTACACCTAGTATTTGTTTTTTGTTTTTCTGTAACGTTTTCTTTTGAAGATGATCTCCAAAATATTCAGGATTGCTGTTTGTACCAGTAGCTTTTTATACACCTTTTATGTTTTATGCAAATTAACTTATTTTTTGTCAAAACCTGTTGAATATAAAGAAAGTGATGAATTAGAACTTGGTTTGTATTTATCAGAAAATTAATTTTTTATGTAATGGTAATATTCAAACATATATATTATTCATTGCAGAAGAGAATCTAGTACTAAAAACATTATGGATTTTGATTATAAATATAACTCTACTCAGTGTGTTTATTATTCAACATTCTGTGATGGCTATGGATGTTGTTAAAGATATTTACTTTAATTTGAATATGGAAGACATTGAACGTAGCATATACAATGCCAGTAGTGCAGCAGTCCTACATTTATTGGTGAAACAATGGCAGTCAATACCATGGATATCTGTTTGGAATTTTAGTACTTCGCAAAGTAATTACTTATGGTTTACAATCAGTGCCTGTCAGGTTATTGGCTGGTGTATAGTTTATGCTGGTTGTGTTATGATGGATATTTCTGAATTGGCTGGCCTAAAGCAAGTATATTATAAGCTGTCTGGTAGACCACGTCCCATGACAATAAAATCTCGAGAACTTCAGAGATTCTTCTTACACATGAGGCACCCAAGCTTGACTGGCTTTCTTATTATTTTGTGGATTTATCCCCTTATGAGGTATACATTAAATTCAACAGCATTTTTCTTTTTTATTCGACAGTTATTAATTTTTTATTTTTTAGTATTGACAGATTATTACTAGCTTCTATATTATCATCATACATGATTTTGATGTGGTCAATCGACTATGAAGATTATTCATATCAATCAATAATGATTTCAAAAAAACAAAGAGAATTTAATACAGAGACTTACTGAGAAAAAAAGTTAAAATAGTATTTCCTTTATGTCATTTTGCACTGTATGTACTGCATTTTTTTAAGTCACATAAGAGCCTTCAAATTAATATGATGCCTTACAGTTAATTTTCGTGTGATACTAATTAACAAATTGTTATGTTGTTAGAGTAGTAAATGTTAATATAATAAAAGTTAGTTTAAGTTTTCTACAAAATGAAAAAACGAGTAACAAAGTTACTTAATATATAATTTATTAATATTTTTGAAAATAATGTGTTCATTTTTTCTGTATACAAATAAACTATCACTTTCAAGTTGGTCACTTTCATTAAAAACAGCCACTTCGAGAATTCAATATTTTTGTCACTACTACTAAACTCAATTTTATAATAAAAAGCAAGAATTGAGTCCATCAGTTTCTTCCCTTAGATATTAATTTATTACAAAATCTTTATAAATAAAAAAGGCTTCATTTTCCTTTTAATATCAGATTCATAGATTAATTCAGTTTTTTTAATGACAGTTCATCAAAAAAGTAATGTGACAAATTTTATATTATTCATTGCGTGATTATTGCTTTTTATAAAATTTATTTACTTACTTACATATCCAATGCTTAAGGTGTTGAACATGAATTATCCAATATTATCCTCTTTCACAACATGACACTTTATTATCCTTTGATTATGTAATTTTTTATAGCTATCACCCTGTTTCACAAAATAATAACTTAATTTTGTATTAATCTTCGTTGACTGTTCTGGCTCCAGTGCTTCACAAAAATATCTGTTATTATTATTATACTATCTGGAATTATCAAATCTTGTTATCTTGTCTTATCGACCGGTGTACATAAAATTCACGCGGCTTTATTGACCTGGAATATCTGCAAAGATTGCTTAGCAGGAATTCAACAGGGGTACAAATATTCAAATAAAATTTCGTAATCTTATATAATAATAATATTGGACTTTAATATCATTCAATATTTTTTTCCCAAAATTCCTGCTTTAAAAATTATTTTTAACATTTTTGTGAATTGAAGAATATAATGCGTTATAAAATTTGTACCATTCTTATAGAAATTGAAAAAGTAAAAGCACTCTACGGTTTTTCGCTGACGGTTGATTATTTTATTATACAAAACATTACTATACAAAAACACTCATCAATAAACCATTCGTGATATTATTTCTTACATTTAATTTTCATGTGATAATAATTAATATCATTATGTCACTATCTAGATTAGTAAATGTAGTCATAGTATTCGTTTTGTATGAAATAAAAAATGCGTAACGAAGTTACTTAATATATCATTTATTAACGTTTCGGAAAGCAATGTATTTATATTATTTGTATACGAATAAGCTATTATATCTTAGTTAGTCACTTGTATTAAAAGAGCTGTTCCTTTAAGAATCCAGTAAGACTGGGGTTTAGCTGAAGGCACCAGCACAGGCATGACAAAATTTGTACTATGTCCAGTTGTAGATAAAACGCCAGCTCGAATGCTTGTTTTGTAAAGCGGACTGACGTATCTAGTATCGTTTTCCGGTAAACTAAGTACAGGAAAAACGTGTGTAACTGGCAAAGGTGGATTCATTTCTCCTTTACTTGCATCAATTAGGATTTTGAATTTGGGATCCCACTTGCCAGCATCAATATAAAGCCCATGAATCAACAATCCATCCTCAGGTACCTGGAGGTTTTTATAAATACTAGGCACCTACAAAAATTACGGGATTAGTAAGTTGAAAAAAAAAATGAAAATAATCAAAGCATAATACTTCTTTGCCAGCTTGCTTATGCGCTATTTCAATATCGTCTTGGTCGAGAATGACATTGGTGGTGTTGAAATCTAATTTCAATTGATCAATCGGAATATTATATTTCCTCGCGTGAGTTTGCAGCATGCCAGTTATGAAACCTTGTGGGAAAGATAATCCAGACAACCAGAATGAAATTGGTTTCCGATCAGTTAACCATGTCTATCAGAAAGAAATCAATCATTAGTTCTGTGTAAAAGATTAAGAAAACGTTCGATTACTTTAATAAAATCAATCCTAAGTTCCAGGTCTCTGATCCAGCTTCCAAGAGATTTTAACGATGGATAAACGTTCACTGCATGCCATATTTGAGGTACCTCGCATTAAAAACAAAACGAAATTAAGCATTCTCATTGAATACAAGAATAGAGTTAGATGGCAATTCACTTGGTTATTGACGAGCGATCTAAAAACGTTTTCAAGCTCTTCAGACATAACGACGAAGCCTTTGATAGCTCGTTGCAGATTTTCCATGGTCAGATGAATTTTTTTCAATAATAAGTTGTACCTCTCTACTTCGTGTAGTAAAACAATTGTGAGCGAAGGTAGTCGATCAGCACTGTCTTTCTGCGAGAAAATTTTTGGGAATTCATTGAAAAACATTGTTTATTCGGAAGCGATACAAATACTTTACTTTGAGATGTTTCTTATTGCAAGAATCAATATCAATTTTCAGCGCTATCTTTTCCATAATCATATCAGCCAATTCGTAAGCGATTTCCGACTCTGACTTCCCTTCCTTACTAGCACCCACTTTCGGTTGAACTTCCATTATCGTTCCCATGATAGTTTTAGATTCTTTAAGCTTACAACACGAATTTATTAATTGAAAATCACAACCGGTTTTATCTTCATTTTCAAAATGTTTATACCTGATAAGCAATATTTGCGTTCTCATGCATGCCAAATATTTCTGGATCTTCGATTATGGGAAAGCCATCGATAAACTCACGGTACTCGGCGAGAGATAGATAAGACGGACAATAGTAGGTTCCAGACGGTGAGTAAACGTACGCTGATTATAAAATACTTGAATAGCAAATTGACTTGAAATATTTGCGCGAAATAAGCAGTACTTACTTAGATCTAATGTTTTTGGCGAGAAAAAGCCTTCTAGTATCGTTTTCAAGCAGCGCAAATCCCAGTTGTCAGTGATTCTTCCACCGTATGTTATTTCACCTGTTAAACGAATAAAAGCTTCGAATTTCATGAGACATTACTAGCAGCATAAAGTAATCCCTTAACCTGTCGTGTAAATAAGAGCATCCCAGGGTATCTTCTCGTTAACGCAGAACATTTGTAAATTCAGCAAACAACATTCTCGATCATTGTCGCTAAACTCGTAAATGATGTTCCAACCGAGGGGACCAAACTTTTTTCGTTCTTGAATGATTGCGTGGAAGAAGCACACGCCAAAAATCATACGTCGCCATTTTTCTCCCAATTCTTTATCACACGCAAATTACAATTAACCAATCGAGTTTTGAAATCCCGTTGAATTCGAAAAAAGCTAACCATGATTCTCAAAGAAATTCTCTTCAAGTTCAAAGAAAGCTCTCTTGACATTAGCTTTCAATCCTTTAGGCGGTTCATTCGTAACCTTCACCGAATTCTGCAGCACCGACACGGGAAACGCAGCACTAGGCATTGAACTCAAGAACAGTCGATAATCATCGTGTACCAGATCAGCGTCCTCAGAAATTTCGATAACAAGATTCTCGAGTGACAGCATCCACGATGTAGCTAAATGACAATTTTGTAAGAACACCCAGTCACCGCGTTCGATGCCTTGTCGGATGAGGCTTTCGGCGATAGGTCCTTGGCCTTGACCGAGAGATATGGATTCATATCTGAAGCGTGAGAGATGGATGTGTGAGGGACAGGTGATTACAAGGGATGATTAGAATAGAAAACCTTTTGGTGAAGCCCATTTCGTGAGCGAATTTCAAAAAGGCGCTGAAGGGATCGGAACCAGTGCTTAGAACGAATACTAATGGAATTACTTTTGACGTGTCTGGATAACTGAAAATGTGAAAATATATATAGAATACTTTTATATTTTAATGATTTAGAAGTGTAGATGGTAGTTTGATACTAACAGAACTTGCAAGGTGATGATTGGGGATTCTACGAATTGTTGGCCAAGATTTTTCTTGACGAACGATGTCACGCCAAAGATTAATTTTTCTTCTTTTAAAGCTTTCAACAGCATAAGTTTTTCAATATCCGTCAAAAAGAGATCCCAATTACGTTGAGCTTTCGCGTTGTTATTGGGTAAAATGTTGATCTCCTACAAAAATTAATGGTGCTAAAAATAACGACGAAGAAGATCGAATAGGTATATAAGTTTGAGTGCGTTCACTGACTTCTTCGTAGTACTCGATTTTCACTTTGATGATTTTGAACATATCATCCATGATATTTTCAAAGCTTTGGAAATTTTCTGCTAAGTAATTGGTAGCATTCCACATTGGATCAGTTAACGTAGGATAATCTGGTTTTTTTGACTAGTACAACAAAAACAAGGTTAAAGTAAGCAGGTGGCACAATGATTCACATCTTGATCATTGTGGAATGTGAACGTACGGTTTTTAACTGTTCAGGCCCTCGGAGCAAGAAATTCCATTGCGCATAGTTGATAACCCCGCCATTCAGCATTATAGCAATATTCATCATAAAGCTGAATACAATTTTATGTCTCTCAAACAACCCTCGGGAAACGATGGTGTACACGGCCAAAGTTATTTCGTCGTAGAGAATTTGCAAGCGCGTTTGAAGGTCGTTTGATTTCTCACTTGTTTCGATGACGTTATTTACAATCTACGAGAAACGTTCGGTGCTGATTTGTAATCGAAAGATTTGTAATTGAATCTATCTACTTACCTGATTGAAATATTTCAACGAGAATTGATACATAGGATCGATAATTGCGAGATTCGCCACGACAAAGTATAAAACTGACCCGCGAGTCGCAGCACTTCTGTACTTTTCGCGAGCCACTGAAATTTCCTGCTCTGTCGCTTCCGAATCGACCAGCCGAGTTGCGATTACGGCTGATGTTTCTTTACTTTCATTTAGAGTCTCAATAAGTTCCTCGTTGTCAAGAATATTACCTTCGGAGGAGAAGAGCAGCATTAAAATTTTGTCTTCGATATTTTTCAACTGTGTTTTGTCGGCATTGATCTGTGCGATCAACTGATTTCGCATCTTTTCGAGCTCTGGTTTTTCTAATCGTACGACGTCGCTGCAATAAAAAAATTATTTTAGCAAATTATTTAAATGTCAAAAATTGGATGAATCGAAGATAATTCTTACGCTAGTAGCTGATCTTCTAATCCACTCGGCGTGACAGTAAAATTAATGATCGTTACTTTAATGCATATCTCAGGCAGATAATGTGGATTAGCCATTTTCGTAGTGATGTACAGCCGGAAGTTCGAGTCATACTCAACATCGTTATCTCCAAGTCGAATAAGAGTTCTTCCAGCCTGTCGTATTCATCAATTATTTCAAGTAGATCTGTCAAAATGAACTGCTTGTACTCACTTGAAAAAAAGTTTGTTTCAACAAAATCGGTTCGAGACTAGGATCCAAAGTTTCGCCGACTTCCTGCAGTAAAATCGGCGCCCCAGTCCTTATACAAGCTTCCATCATCCTCATAAAATTCGAATCGGTCATCTTGCAAATCTTTAACTGATGCGACTGTTCCATATTTCTTATCCATCGATTAGCTTGCTCTTGAGGATCGATCATGAGTGGCCAACGACCAGCTTGTGTCACGAGAATAGCGTTCTCTGTGCTAACTTGATCTCTTGGCAATCCGTACGCGTTCCACATACGAATTTCGTAAGGATCCGCAAGTACAGTTTCCAAACTAAAGTTCGACGTCGTGTCTATTCCTTGTTCTTGACATCTCGATAGCCAAGCTGATAACAATTGCTCGCGATAGATGCTCGTGAAAGCACCGAGATAAGCTAAGCCACCAGCAGCTACGAGTGTGTCGCCGGCAATGTTGCCGATTTCCTTTTCGAATTCCTTCATTTCTTCGATCCATCGTATCTCCTCGTCTGCTAAAGCCGAAGTTAATCTACCCGATCTACCCAGCCGAGCTTCGCTTAGTGCCATGTTGTACTCCAAATCGGCGAGACGCCGTACAGCCGTGTCGTAGGCGTTTTGAAGGTCTCTACTTTGTTTCTCGACCGCGGCGAGTTGCTGTTGCTTCTGCTCTAAAATTTCCTCGACACCACGTAATTCGATCTGTGCTTCCGCCAACCTTTTTTTTTAATAACCAACCATTAATAATTATACTTTAAGACGAATGATTGTGTGAGTAACCTCTGTCGTTTGGGCTCGACAATTCGAAAAATCTTGGCATAACCGTCGACAGCTCTCACCCAAATGCAAATTGACTTGCACACTTTGCTTTGTTTAGCTACAATGTCAGGTTGGAAGTCTTTGTCCATCACATAGTCTTGTAGTTTTTTCAACAACTTGTCGCTTATATTGTCTTTGTCGTATGCCATCAGACGATCGAGAAAGCGCACGTCGCTGAGCACTAGCTTTGCCGTTGGCCAGTCAGTCCTGCAAATAACGCGAGATATATGTTTAAAAAGTATTTATGTTTTGAGAAATTTGTGGTTCTCGTTTTTACTTGCTTTTGACCGAGCAGCAAGCAAACAGCTTCCATGACGAAACGAACGAGTGCCGGTGGCTTGTTGAAGACTTTTATCTCGTTGATGTCGTTCTTGTTCAGCGCAGCCAACGCGTTCTGAGCTTCTTCCAACGCTGGTAAAGCTGCTTCGAGATCCTTACGAGCTTCTGCTTCTAGAGCTGCAATTTTATCTGCTTTTGCCTATATTGAGATGAAAGACATGAAGCAACTGTTCCATGGTGGAAATGATTAGAAACTATTGTCAGAATTACTTTCGCCGTTGCTTCGTCAGCCGCGACGACAGTTCGGACTTTGTCGCATTCTATCTGTTGCACTGCGACCACTTTCATCAGTTTTGCCACTTCCTCGGAGTTGATTTTCAACTGAGGTCCCAGAGCAATTAGTTCTATTTTCATCATCGCCACCATTTCATTTGTTTCTTTCAATTTCTAAATATAATTGTACGGGTATTGTGATATTATGAAACTATCAGTAAGGTTAGTATAAATTTATATTTTTTACATTCAATCCGTTTCCAATTCGACCTTTCATCGTATTTATTTTAGTGCTTTTTTTGTCCAAAGTATTCAGATAAATCTTCAGTAAATCTAAATAGCTACTTGGAGTCGTGTAATATCTTCTTTGCATCTCTTCGAAGAACTTCACCGTCATTTCTTCCACACTCTAGCAGATGCACAAGAACAGAGATTAATTGAGCTTCCCCGCATCGATGTGGATATTTTACCTCGTGCATGAGCACACAAATCGAAGCGAGAGCTTGAACCTTATCCTCGTTGTCAACGATTACAAAGCCAATCGACTTGACAGCCACCGAAAGTAGAGCTTCGTTGGGCCACTTTGAAAACCAATCGATCGTGCAACAGTTGACCAGCGATGGAAACATTCGACAGCGTCGCCTAGGCAAAACAGCGTTCATACACTAGATCGATCGAAGAGAACATCTTTGTTCTCCTCGGCATCTACCTGAATGCATCTCCGACGGGACTCATACAAAGCATCAAGTGTAAGTGATTTCTCACGCGACCGATGAAGAATTGATAAATAGCATCTCGATTTGATTCGCTGATTCCGGCTTCTTTGGCCGCTGGCCGAGTTGCAATTATAGCTCTTTCTAATTCTTCCGCTTCGAATAAATTCGGCACTTCACCTGTTGCTCCGAATAAAAAGAACGACCTATCGTACAAAGCAGATCAATGGAGAATCAGAAAATTACCGGAATTCAGCGTGTTATTAATATCTTCAAGGAACTCTTCAAGCACAATCTGCGTATCGGTAAATAAGAACGTCGCTGGTTCTGCAAGAGCGCCAGGTTTCACGTAAAATCTACGCAAGTCATCGTACCACGAGCTTCTATCGTAACCTCGGCTCACTTCTATCTGATTGCACCTAGCTCACGCAAATCGCATGTCATGTCTGACTGAAACCGACCGTTACTACTTGCAACTATGCTTTTACCGATAACCATTCATGTGCGAAGCGAGTTTCGTTAGGCTCTGTTTGCCCATTCCACCAACGCCAACCAGCAGTCCGTTGCCCCTTTCCGACCTCAATATTCTGGCTAATCTACACAAATGTTCGATCGCATCCATGAAGAATATCAAATTCATCTCTTTGGATGTCGCTAGCGAATAGTCATCCAAATAATCTTGCAGTACGAGCCTCGTCTTGTCTAAATCGACAATCTCTTCGTACAGTCTCTCGCCTCTTTTAACGCCAAATACCATGAAATCACCGAACAGTAGTAAAGGTGTATCAGCCGGCGTATCGTCTTCGCTTTTGAATGGTATCACTTCGTCGCCGAACTGTTGCGAACATATACCACTAAGTAAATGGTAGAAGTATGTTTTGTCCTCGTCATTTATCAAACGATCGTGGAAGACTCGCAGACACTCATGGTAGAACAATCTGAATGGAGAAAATCAGCTAAAGTATATTTATCAAGGAAGAACAGGAATTTATTACAAACCGTAGCATTTGTTTAGCCTCTCTCACAATGGATGAGTCAGCTTGCAAGATACCTTGAATACATTTTGACAGATCGCGAAGATTGAATATGTAGTGACTCTTCTCAGGCGTTGGCAGCAAGTCCTCGGCTATTTTGTTGTATACTTCTACGGAAGCGGTGACTATTCGGTCGCCGATGTCAATTATTGGCTGTGTAAAGTCTTTGAGGAATCCTCGCATGATGGTTCTGGATATGTAGACAAAAACAGCAATTTCTGACCATTTGTTGCTTGGCTCAACAGCTGATTCGTATACCTGAATATCGCCTTTAATGAGTCTTCAGTAGGAGATGGAATAACGAGCATCCCGAAGTGTCTGACGAATCTGGTTGTCAAGGGGTTTCTCCCACCTCCTGGTGGTGCGCAAGCTGTCGTCATAACAACGTCGACTATCCTTTTCCAAAAAAGTTTATCCTTGTCGAACACTCCACCACAATCCAATATTTGTCTACATAAACGTTGTAGAACATTTATAGGTGCTATACATTTTAACGATTGGGTGGCGAAATCACAATTGTAATCGCAAGTCAATAACACCACTACGAGCCAAAAGTTAAAAAGCAAAGCTCGTCACTTTATTCATATTGGTGATTCACGACCCAATGACCTGATAATAAATCACCTGAGCAATTCGATCGGCGGCTGCGAGCCGTAAGTATCTAATTTCGGCATGTTTACGTCGTCGACGAAGACGCAGACGCGTTTACCGACAGGTGCACCGAGTATAGTCTTCTTTTTCTTCTCGAGCTTCAACTCGAGAATTTCCTGTGTGCGACCGCTACTCGTTTGGGCCGAGAAGTTTAACACTATGGGTAGCCAGGTGTTTAGCGACTCTAAGGTGTTCAGCACCATTTTTGCTATCACTGATTTTCCAACACCTAAAGAAAGGACATATCTTTATCTTTATAATAGTTTTCTCACCAGTGAAAGAATTTTTCCCTGATATACGAGTCGATTTTATAAAATAATTCTTTTAACAAATAAAAAACCTTGAAATTTTAATATTCACGTTCGGAATAATCACAAAAATAAAATTCTAAATATAATTAAAGCATATTTATTTTTATATAACTTTCTTTTATACTAAAAATCAATTTACAATCTATAATAGTTGATGACGAATGCAACTCTAGATAGTTTTCAATAGTCTCATTTATTTCTAGCTAATTAATGCGCATCTCTTATTTAAGATATATAGGATAGGATAATAGAAGCAATGTACAAAATCGTATTTTTAGTGTACAATGTAAATAGAAAAAAGATAATTTTCTTCCGAAATCCCATACAGGAGATTTTCGAGTGTGCTGTTTAATTATCTGACCTTAGTCTTACATGAAAATGTCAATAACCTTATTAATTTTACGTTTAAGCGAAAAATTTCAATTTTCTAAATTTTCTTTTAAGTCGATTTTTTCTTATTGTTGTGTTCAAACAAGTACATTATCGACAAAAAGCGTGGTCAAGATGTCGGTCTTTCTGAAATCATTCGAGAATTTTTTTATTTTTTTCTTGCATTTTTACAAAATGTCGTCAAACGTCCATTATTATCTCTGTAACTTTAACTGTATTTGAGAGAATTTAGTAAATTTTCTGTATCATTTTTGTCAATCAAGGGTTTTAATAACTTAGAACGTATTTCGTAAAGTTTTTTGATAATTGAATAATATCCGCGAGTTCACTCGTAATTACCATTCGCTTCGCTTATCGCTAGGTAAAGATCATGTTTCGAATAAGATTGGGTAGAAAATGAAAATTATAAAATTCTTGCTTTTGCAAGAATTATTTGTTAAGTCAATAATGAGTGCGGAGTAAATATTAATTGGTTTGCTAAAAATTGACGACGACGCGTAAGAGACAGCATTGGGTGAATTCGTTGTTAGCACTTAGATGAGCTAGTAAGCACTTTAAAATAAAAATCATTTGACATCCCCGAAAATAGCTTGACGGGGATTTATCCAATCTGCGTAAATGTTCGATGTGTATGGTCGATTTGGTCATTGCATTTTTGCATAATTACCAGTGCCACCAGTGAGCAAAACCGGCTTGTTCACTTGGATAAGCTTCTGCATAACGTATCCAAAGCGAACAGTGTCGACAGTCGGCACGAGTATTTCGAAGAAAGGCTGCTCGGGATCGTAAGCGAAAGCAGGCATGAGTTTCGTCCACACATCCATTCGTCTTTCTGGTGTATTAATGAAGAGTCCCCACAACTCTCCGGACGGCGGTAGGCTAAGGAGAAAACAAGCAAGACGGAGGCGATTCTCGAAAGTCCTATTTTATGCGCTTACTCGGAACGAAAATAAATCGCGCTTACCGAGCGTCTGGATTGTTGTCCATTTGATCTCGTACGAAAAGCTCGAAAGTCTCGCGCGAGCTGTCTACGGCATTGCCGCCAATCGCCCATAGGTATGCAAACACGAAAGCTTGCGTGACGAATGTCCTCGCTTTTGACGATTCGATTGACCTCTCCATCGCGCCCGGCTCGAGCAGGATACTTTCCAACAGCGCGCACAACATATCCGCTTTGCTGATGTCAACCTGCATTCACGTTTTCAAACAAACAAACGAACAAATAATAATTATAATAATCGTACATTCAACAAGGGAAAAGCGAAGCAAAGCGCATACTTGGGCTATAGCGTAGTCGCAATTCTTTCGAAAGAACACCAAGCCATCGTCGACGTAACTCTCGAACAGCTCTGACAGCAGAGCCGGTATTTCTTTGCGTGGCAACTTTTCGGAGATGCTGGCTATCCAAGTTTTGACGCGCGGTAACCATCTGAGCTCGCTCGGGTCTAAATAAACCATACCTACAAACTCGACGGAGAACGATATTATTATTCACAATCCTTTCGAGAAATTTTTTTATTGTTCATTTTATAAAAATAAGTGCTGCTTTTTTTCAATTGCAAATGAAACTTATTTTCCTGTAAATAAAAACGAAAAGTACCGCATCGCGAGACAGTGGCAGGCGATGCTTGGGCAAGGTCAGCGACCTCAAAGACCATGTGTACATAAGGTGTGAACTTGATACGCTCGGAGTTAGCCAAGCACAGCATCTTATTGTCGTCTAGCACGGTATTCATGTTCTCGATCCACACGGCGTCGACTGGACCGTCGCACACTACCCAGTAGTGATCCTCCGTCGTTGACTATGCGTACCGAGAAATTCACGATTTATTCAGGTCCGATTTCGCAAAAAGTCGCGCGCGAAAATCGTATTACAGCGCAAGCGCGTCGTATAATGACGCCGAGCAATCCATCGTGCCACTCGTTCGAAGCCGGATTGACTTCGCCGTAGAGTTCGCCAATCGTCACGGCTTTCGGGTTCAGCACGTCCATGTGAACTTTTTGGTAATAGGGACTGGGAATTCCCAACTCGTGCAGGCGAGTATAAGTGTCACGCAGTGTCTGTCGTTACGGCTTGATTAATTGGCTTATCTCGAGAGGCGAGGTAGAAAAACTTTTTGTCTTTTGGTAAATTACGCGTAAGACGGTGGATTTTCCAGATCCAGTTGGTCCGACCGTCATCACGCCGTGCCTAACGCGCATCGTCTCGTGCAGCTGAATGACTTTTTTTATCGAGCAATCTTCCGGTTGCAATCCGGCTTCTTGCATTATCTGTCAAACGCAAAGCCAAAAAAAAAAAAAAAATTCGTTACTTTTTCTTTTGCTCGAAAAGTGGAGAGAGGAGGAGAGAGAAAGAGCAGCTAATGAAAAGTGGATAATAACCGTGACAGCAGTCTGCTGAAGCACGCCGTAATCTTCCTCGGAAATGTCGACGCCGGGAAAGAGATCGCCGAGTATACCTTGAAACAGCTCGGCGTCATCGGCCAAGAATTTCGGTAGATTGCTGTCTCGCAGCGCCCTTATGAGCACCACGTCCTCCTTTTTGTCGGGATTGTCGCGTTTCAAGCTGCCCGCCATTACCAGCACGCTCTTCACCGCCCTGACAATGACGATTAAGGCCTTTTTCTTTCTTGTTGCCCCCCCCACCCTGCCTCTCCCTCCTGATTTCGTTGCTGGCCCTAAATTGCATACCTCATGCCGAAATCGTAATGATCCTGTTGCGACAATTGTTCGCTGCACAGCGTGTACAGTAGCGTCATTTTTTTCGACAGCGGCTTGGACGATTCGAAGCCTTCCGAGTACAGCGTCACCTCGGCTATAAGTTCTAAAACGAAACGGCATTTCCGTGAAATTCGCTATTTATATTTGCCTCGGAGTGCGTTCCCACTGCAAAGCCAAATTACTGTAATCGGGGACCATCATAGAAACCGGTCTGAATAGCGATTTCAAATTGTCCGGCAATTCGGTGCGGCCCGCGTAGCCGGGATTCATCGTGATAAAAGCAGCACAAGTCATCACCAGCTTGATCTTCCGCCCCTCAAACATAAACCTGCCCGCGATAGCGCACAAGCAGCAAGATTACTAAATGGCGCGAGAGATGGGCGGAGATGTTCGCCGAAAACTGCCGTGAGCTCACTCTTTGGCTCGCGCGACCTTGGCGTTCCTTATAGTGATCAGCTGCTGAGCGATCACCGACAGCACTTCGATGTCGATGCGATTGAATTCGTCGAAGCAACACCACGCGCCTGACGTTGCCAGTCCCGAGAAAAACCGACCCATCATCTACGCGTTTTTCATACGTTTTCGTAAATTTTCTCCAAGGTGCTTCATTACATGGGAGAAAAAACTAGACGAACGTACTTTATAGTCGAGCCCTTCGGAACAATTGAACACCACGCACTGAATAGCCAAGGCTTTGGCCAGATCTTTGGTCGTCTCCGTTTTGCCGGTACCAGCCGGTCCGGCTGGAGCTCCGCCTATTTACGCATCGCACCAGCGTCATTCAAGTATCAATACTCGGACGAATAAGCGAAAGCACAAACCTAAATCCAACTGTAGAGCACCCATCAAGCAAAGATAACACTTATCGGTGAGCGGAGTGATGACGAGTCGTCGTTGAGCACCGAGATACTCGTACCCGTACGTGTACTCGGCGTTACTCATCCGAGCGAGGCAATTGTCGACCTCGGTGTCCCAATAATAACGCAAGGCTTTCGTCCAGTCAAAGCTTGCACTACATTGCGTCAATCGATGCGCCTCCTTGAGCTTTTCTTTTCCAAGTATGTATCAGTTTCTTTACCTGGACGACACTTTATTTTCGACGAGGATCGATATTGTGTCTCGCGCGTGTACGTCGACTGTTATTAAATTTATAATGACGTCACGCACAAGTTTCGGTAGCTCTCCACGTACCATCGCTGCCAATTCATTCAAATTCTATGCAACAATACAATCGTGGACATAAGTTCATTGGCAAACGGAATAATATTTTTTTTATTATTTGTAGCGATCACCTCGAAACATTGTCTCTCGAAAGCTTGCATATTCGCAATCGCATTGTCAGATTCCAAATTCACGTGCACATCCGTTGCCCAGAATATTTGGGACACCGTCAAAACTATCTGCGTCCAAGATTTTCATTCGCACCGCGCGCCACGACGCGTTTACTCGATAAAGTTAAAAAAAACCTGCGAAGGAAAGTTCCAGAGCACAGGTTGTCTCCCGTTCTTCTCGAAATCGCCGATTGCCTCCCTCATACGCTTTTTCAAGCTCGAAAACATCGCTGATTCAACTTTGCTCAGCCAGTCTTCGACATTGCCCCGCGCTTTCAGTCCTTTTCCCAATTCAACGCGTTCGCCTTCAGGCGAGATCATTGCCACGATGTCGTTGGATGGCTTTTGGCCTTCGCCCGATGCAGCGAATTCGAGTCGATGAATCGCGTCGAAACACTTTTGTAGATGACGCTGCACTGCGAGTGGATTTCTCGTCTATTGATTATGAAAAAAACTTGGAAAGTCTTGTGCTTTGGAATTGAGTTTAGGAGAGATTGCGTCGCTTTACTTGAGCGAGGATCTCAAGAAGCTCGTCGTTAGAGAGGAAGAAGAAGCGTGGAAAGGCGATTCGTTTGGTTTCGAGGTAGGCTTCGAGGCACTTGAGTATTTGATCGAGATTACGATTATTTTCTAACAACTGCTCGTATAGTCCTGGTTGCATGCAATTTTCTAAGGCCAATGGCATCTGAGAGAGAGAGAGTGTCAATAATCACATAGTACGAATAATAAATTTTACGCGATTGCTGCATACCTTAGCGGTCTTTCTCATGATTTCCTTCCATGACTTATCTACAATAATAAACAGCTTAGACTCGATGGGTAATTGCCTCTGAATATCCGGCGCGGAGAATATAGCCTCCAGATACATCCATTGTTGCTGACAATACTGCCACGATTCCTAAAACATCAAAGTAAGCTTTTAATAATACCGCTTAATAAAGGAATCTTAAAAAAAAAAGACTCATACCAAAGTTTTGGAGAATAAATCCAACCTCTTCACCCAATCGTCGACTCGCGGCTTAATCGGCGCCACATGCCTCGAAGCTGCAATCGTCTGTATATTAATATTACTGTCATCCAAAGTAGCTTGCACCTCTTCTAGAGATCCAAGCACGAACACATCCTTCGAATCCTTATGTTTCTGTACAATGAAATCTAATGCCTTCCAGGATCCCTCGACTTTATTCAACATCATTTCGAGTCCAGCTTCCGAACTCGCTGCACCCGAAATTTCCATTAATTCGTTGGCATAAGCAAATGAATGCAAATTCTCGAGAAGTTGGAGATTTATCGGCTCATCGGGACGGAATTTGTAATCTAACAGCAACTCGATTTTCGCCCAGTGGCGAGGACGAAGATTCGGATTGCGAAGGTAGCCGATTATAGGCATCTTGTCCTTCATCGTTTCGACCTTTTCTGTTTAATGAATTTGAATATTTCCTTATAGGTTGTTTAAAAATTCACAGAAAAAAAATCGCCTACCTTTGAGATCAGGAAGTATATTATTCTCAGGCAAGCCTTTCTCCAGCTGCATTATATTCTTCAAATTCTTCATGACAAAAGCATTCATGTCCTCGACGTTAAGTGTTTCAAAATCTGCCTCGTACCATTCGGCTATGGTCTCGTCCCAGGTAGCTAAACTCTGCCAGAGAAGTATACGTAGCTTCACTTCGTTCTGCACTTGCTCGAGAATTTCGAATCTTGTCATCTCGATTTTGAAAGCTTTCTGATGCGAACGGTAGTCGTTTGCCAGGTTCGCACATTCAGTCAATCGATCGTTCAGTTCGTTAAGGGTTTCGAGACACACGTATGCGTTACTTTCCGCATCGAGAAGCCATGATTGCTGTAATTGAAATGTTATTTCTTAGAAGTTGTAAAAACATCGAGATAAATCTAGTATTTACCGTGACTTCGTCGTTGAGCAGTTGGATTCTATCGATGAGAAGGTTAATGTCTTTGTGAATCTGAGTATTAAACTTGGTAATAAGTTTCGTTCTGTTTTCTAATTGCCTCTCAACTGCCAGTCTCATGGACGTAAAATACACACTGATTCCCTGAAACATATTTTTTCCAGTTCACTTCACGAAGTTTAGTTAATGTTTTCATAAATTTACCAGATAGTTGGCCATATCTTCGGCTGGTACAGGAAACTGATATTCTTCCATGATATCGTAAAGCTCTTTCACGTAATCTAACTTGACTTCCATTCTGTCGACTTTTTTCAAGGCTTGATCGACAAATTTGATGTAATCGGCGTAATCTTCGGTAGATACAGGTTCGGAGTTCAAAAATTCAATGGCTTCTGTCGCTTCTTGCAATAGTTCGTCAACTCTCAATTTCCCCAAACTGTAAAATAATTTTTCGTTGTTGATAATTGAAATTGAAATGTTGATTTTATTTTACCTTGGCATGATTTCTGCAAGAACTTTTTGTTTCTGGTTCGGAGCAGGTAACGCTGAGAGTTTGAATCTTTTGAGCTGAACGTTGAAGATCCCAAGTGGTTGAACGTCAACTGCGCTGTTAATTTCCTCTTCTTCGGTTCGATAACGCTCACACCATTTGCGAAATATATCGCACTTTTCATTCTCGAGTATCAGATTCTCATTGAACTCCATATCTTCTGTATAAAAGTTGCGAATGTCCGAAAACCGCCTGTTGTAGTTTTTAACAGCATGGAAATTTTTTTCGAAGGTTTCCTTAAACTTCGCTTTGTAGTTTACGAGTGTTGGATCTTCATTGATGACTGTTAAGATGTTCGGTGGATCGCCGCACGTTGGCTTTTCAATTTTATTGTTTATCAAAGGCCTACAGATTCGAATAGTTAATATTTTAATAATTAATAAATGTGCTGATAATAAGAAACACGAAAACCTCGTAAAAGGATGAAAGATTTCATCGGACAATAAAGGATTAATATTTTTCAGCGTATCTTCCCACATCGACTGTAACGTTGTCAACACATGCCAGAATATACTTTCCGACGGATCCAACACAATGCCAAGTTCCGGATTTATTAATAAATCGACTATGAAGTACGGATACTAACAATATCCAAAATCTATCAATAATTATTCTTTACAGGTTTATATTAAATCAAGAAATTGTACCTCGTTTTCGCTTTGCGACGGTCCGTTGCATTTTAGAAAATAATCAACAGCCAAATTTTCGAACTCTTCGGGAAATGGCAGAAAATCGGTGTGAGCTTTCAAAACTTGGAGCAATTCCATATAAGTATTTCGCATAAAGTTTTGCATCATAGTAAGTTGGTAATAATCCGCAACATGTATAAAACTATGAAAAGAGCAAAACCAACATGCATGATAACGTCAATTAAATATATATCGATAATCGTACCTGGCTAATTTGAAACATTTTTCCCTTTTTCTTGCCTGTTCGATGTAACTCATTTTAAGCACACCATCTCTTGGCATCCTAGCTTTGCCACCTATGAGCAATATTACGTATATTACGTAAAAATTATTACGTATTGCGCAAATGAAACAAAAATAAAGCTTAAGAAAATAAGAAAAGATTCAAATACCCGCTTTCCCCAGTGCCGTTTGTTCAAAAGTTATGTTCGAATCGTCCGGTGTGAAGCCGGCATCCAGCAAAGCTCTCAAGCAAGTGTTGTTCAATATATTCAAGGAAAGCCTTCTAAATTCATTCAATTTATCTTTTATTCTCTCCAGCTTAGCAAACTGTCAAACCAATAAATTCGTGAAATTTACGTGTTCAATAACATATAGCAAGTAATTCGTTTTTCGTACTTGCATTTCAACAAAATAAAACAGCGGAAGTTGCCGAACGACCGCTGTATCTACAAATGATGAATTTAAAAAAATACTACACATCCCTCTGATCTCCAATAAAGCTTTGCGTAAGATGTCATCGCAGAAAAAAAGATTCTTTTCCAAATAGTTCCTAGCTTGCATTATCTTGTTATACTTGATGGTTTTTCTCCATACGTTGAAAGCCTTCCACTTTCGAAAAATCTCGAAGGTTCTGATCTGTGGTCAATTAAAATCTCGTTTATATTCGACTTGCATACAATCTATAATCGAATGAAAACATCCATTACTTTGGTCAGCAATAAATAAGATCTGTATTCTCGCTCCCATAGTTGGATAGGCGTGAAGGTCATGTCGCTGGGCGTGTATTGCGTGACCCCATTAGCTCCGATCGTCATGTAGACTTTGTCGACTTCTTTGTAAGGTACGACTCTTGAGGGTAATTTTTCAAGTTTGATTGTGCTTTGAAAATCAATAAAAAAAAATTGGTCGTTTACTCACTTGAGCGCGTAAGGATTGAAATATTCCGAGGATCGATCGACAGCGTAAATCATGTAATAAAATCCGATTCCAGGGTTATTACGCAACTCTCTTATTAATTCCAGTTGATCGGCAAATACCGGCGGCTTCGATTTACTGACGACACTTTTTGCCGAATCCATTTCTAACACTTTGCCTTTCGGTTGTACCACAACTAAATCATATTACGCTTTAGACACTCGTAGTTTAACCGACTATTTTTCAGAAATTACTTTTTATTGGCCTCTGCTTTATGAACTGGCTTTTTATAGGGGGCTCGTAAGGTGGATCTTGCACTTCCGGTACTGGAATATAAGGTTTAAAAACCTTCCTCCTTATCTCTTCTTGTTTATCCAAAAATCCTGTCTATACAATTTTAGAGTTAACTGTAATAATGGTCAAGTCTTGAACCAATTAAAAAAGGAGAAATTTACTATGGGCTCTGGAATGTCTCTCTTTTCCTCGATTTCTCGTAATAGTTTCTTGTGAGGAACGTAGAAATCAATCTCGTCTTTTCTTTTGATACTTGACGAAAATAACCGGCAGCGAGTTAAAATATCCTCGTATCCCAAAGCCTGTGCGAAAGATAACGTACCTCGCGTATTTTTTGGGGGCCTCGCAGCGCAGCCCCCTCGCAAGCACGCGCGAGCTTTCATCCCGGTAGACTCGCGTGCCGCGCTTGCGCACACCGGGATCACCGGCGAACTCGGAGCCGTCGCTCAGCTCGAACTCTTCCATCGCCAAGTATCACTCGACTTGCTGCAAACACAAGTGGCGACAACGTCGTCGTCGTCGTCGGCCGCCGCCGCCGCCGCGCTCAAGTGAATTGCAACGCGAAGGCATCCGGCGTGAAGAGGAAACTGAAGTTGGCCGGCGCATGTAGTATATCGACTTAACAAATGAATTATGCTCATCAAGCGGCTGCTACGTCCGGAAAACTAGGACGGCTCGATAATACGATGTCTCGAGTCACGGAATACCGATGCTCGTCTTTTAGGCTTTTGCGCTCTGATCGGTCAGACATCAGATTCATATCGCGTGCCCGCGCATATGATATTATGCCGAACTTTTTGCTTTTTCGCTTGGTTGCGCACTCGAATGCCATTTCGTTCCGTCGTGGATGTTGTTCGAAAGAACCGTGCAACGTGTCATTATGTAGAAAGAATTTCATTCTAATGTTTCCCATTAATCATTTGATCAATTCTAGGCTTACGGGCTAATGGGATGAGCAAATTGCTAACTCGATATACAATAATAATATGGCATTTGTTTAAACCAGCACGATCTAAACGCAATGACGCATTTTGCTCCTTATACATTGCGTTTTCTTTCTCGAATAATTACGTACATACCTTCAAGAGATAGACTGCTTTAATCGCATTATCAAGTAAGTATGTAATAAAATACGTAATCTTAATTTTTTTTCTTCAAGTAAATAATTTGTTGATAAATTTCAGGTTGTTAATAAAATAAAGTTAAAATAGATTAACTTATTCCAAACCGTATAAATATTTGTAGATTTGAAAACGTGAGCGAGAAAACAAAATTTGAAGTTTTCCGTTCGACTTAACAGCATAAATATTAATTACCTATAGCTGCAGAAATGGCAAGACCTTTCTTTACAACCTTAATAATATATATATATATATATATATAATACAACAATAATTTTTGGATAACACATTCGAGTTAACGTAAATAGCAAGTACATTTACTATAAGTTAAGCTATAAGCTGAATTCAAGAATATGATCAGTCGGCGTGCAGCCGACGTGATCGTCGGGGAAGAATAAGTGATGATTAATGGTTCAAAGCAAATAAGATGAGATATTTCGTGATTGTAACTTCGTAAAACTTAATAATAGATCAACATTTATTCATAATAAATACTATTTAATAATTGATACACAAGATAAGACTGCTTAGAAAGCAAGATATGTCCCATTGAAAGTTGTACCGATCAATGTATAGAGGAAAAAAGAATCCATTAGAAATCAACAAAGTAGTTCACACTTGGAATTGAGCACCTCAGTATTCTACTATTCTCGTTTTGAAAATAGGTGGCCAACGCACGCGCCTCTAAAAATACTCACCTTCCTTCTCCCCTCCCCTCCCTCCTCACTCTTGTATCGAAACATCAGTAGCAGCCAACGGATGAGAGCGAACTTGCAAGAGTTTCAACTTCAGTCAATTCTCGCGGTTATCCGTGCACACGTGTTGGGCTCTAAATTCTGGTGAAATACATAAATTCGTGACTACCTGAAAAGTGTAATTAATTAATTTTCTGCGGTAATCTATTCGTACATTTATAAATAAGGAAATTTATTATGAATAGAATATTTTCAAGTTCCAACAATCGACGATAATAAACGTTTCGAGAATAAATATTTCACTAAAGGAGCAAAACATGCCCCAGCTGAGTGAGAAAATAACGACAGACACTCTGCGAAAAATCGCATCCAACGAGGAATACGATGAGAATGAGATTCTTTGCATAGCAGAGTACCTCGTCAAGCTTTACGAGTACGATTTCGACGCACAATTTGGTCTGATCACGACCAACGATCCAGCCGAAAGTGAAGTCCTGGAAAAAATCAAGCAATTGAACATCGAGAACACGTCTTTTTTTGCGATATACAGCAAAGGAATTAAACATTGGGTTTGCTTCGCCGTCACTTACTTGTACAATTCGGTGATTGTGTTGTACAAAGATTCGTTGGGAGTTCAAATACCGCATAATTTGAGAGAGTCGATTGGCGATAATTTAAAGGATTACAGAGTTAGATTTGAGAGTCATCGGGGTACTGAACAAGGTGACGAGACTAGTTCAGGACCCATTTGTTTAAGAAATTTGCAAGTATTGCTGAAGGGAATGCAATCGGAAAGTATCAAGGTGAGTTGATCGATTGTATTGACAATGATACGGAGTCATATTTAAGTTTAACGTCATTACGAAAAACGCTCATAAGTTTCATTAAATGTTATGTAGTTATGTGCCGAACGAAGGAAAAATGATTTGCAGAGGCAAAAAAGTAGAAAAAAATCTGAAAAACAATCAATAGTATTGAGCAAACGTTGCGAAGCTAACTCTTTAATCTTATTCTTACAGAGAACTATTTTCGTCGATATAATATTTGAAACTTTATAGGTACCACTGATTGAGAAATTTCAGAAAGTACGATTCTGCACCCAATACGGTGTGCAAAGTGTCAAGCGAGAATTTCGACTATGGCTACAAAAGTATCTACTCATTGGTCTGGAAGAAGTAGCTACAGAACTTTTAGAAGATCAAAATTACGAAGATTTTCGCCAAGAATTGTGTCACTTCATTGATAGTTGCTTGAAAATACTTAAAGAGACGTATGTGTTGTCCAGTACGTACGTTTCAATTCTGAAGTCTGAGGCAAAGAAAAAGGATCAAGATCCTCGTTACGAAAGCGATCACAAAAGCCAAAGAGCAATGAAGGATACTAAGGAAAGCTTCTACAGAAACAATGCAATACAAAGGAGTTTGAAGTTCGACAAGCACGATTTTATTGATCTGGATGAGGGACATCGAGTTTACAATCTGGATATACAGGAGAAGTAAGTGTCGCCTTCTTTCGACATCTACATTACGTATTTTACAGTCCGTTGTTCTTTTTTAGGTATCCCGAGCAAATGCAAAAATTCACAAAAATCTTCGCAGTTTTGTCGCAAGCCGAGATGAATGATGAGCTAGAAAAAGCTCTGAAACAAGTCAGTCTAATGTTGAATCTCAAATTTGACAAATTAAAAATATTCTTCGAGCAAGCCAAACAATCAAGACGCCCGGAACTTACGAGGGCCAATTTCACACCATCTACTAGATTAGCTCATCTCGAGAAAGCCATCGAAGCTGTAAAAGCAAAATCTAAAGGAATTAAGGTGCATTCACTATTTTTATTCTTTTTTTCACGACTCTATTATTACTCGAATTTTCAGGAATCTCTGAAACAAGACTCAGCCGACAAAAAGATTAAAAACTGGGAGCGTTTAATCTCTGAATTAATACTCGATGTACAATCATCTCAAGACACGACAGCCGAAGAAATAGCAGCTCAAACAAAAACCATCCGCGAGAGTTTGCCGCAGATTGAGAAGTATTACGCCGAGTGGTCGAAGCGTGATATCGCCGATATTAATATGTACTCAAACGCCTGCAAAGCCGACGAGAAGGTATTTACACAAGATCAGATATACGAAGCTATCGCTGTTCTTGATCGAGCCAATGAATTGGCAACTGGAGGTTACAGATTGAGAGCACCTCAAATTCTTTCGGTACTGGTGTTTCTTAACTCCATGGGGTCATATCACGGCAAACTTTGCCAGATTGAGAGTGGTGAAGGTATATAATCTAACGATTCTTATTTATGAATGTTTAGTGTTTCATTCGCACTTTTTTTCTCAGGCAAAACTGTGATAGTATCACTGTTAGCTACTATGGTCATTTTGCAAGGAGAAAAGACCGTCGACGTAATAACCAGTAACGCCGTGCTAGCACAAGAAGGTGTGGACAGTCGTAAATTGTTTTACTCGCTCTTTAACATCAGTGTTGCTACCAATGCAGCCGACAAAACTTACGCTCAGGGACCGAGAAAGTGTTATCTTGCTGACGTTGTCTACGGCAGTATCAGTGACTTTCAGTTCGATTTCTTAAGGTAACTGTTTCATTTGTAGCTATATCGTCGAGTATAATTTAAATCCATTGTAATTTAAGAGACACAGCCGAAGGTTTAGGGACGATGAGTGGCAGGCAATTCGGCCGTGTAATTCTCGACGAAGTTGACAACATGTTGGTCGACAACGGCAGACACATCGCCAAGATATCATCACCGTTTCCTGGCATGGAGAACCTCAAGTATATCTACATCCAAATTTGGAGCGAGCTGGTGAACGCCGAGTCAGAATTGATGGATGATTTTCAAGAGAAACTGAACAGCTTTTCCGACCTTAAGAATGCCAAAGACATGGCAGTCACGGAGTTTCTCAGGATCTTCGATGCGTCTATGATTGGAAGAATTGAGGAAAGGATCAAAATTAACTTGAAGGATTTAGATTTGAAATTCGTGCCAACGCACGTCCTTAAATATGCCGAAACCATGATACCAAAGTGGATCGGTAATGCGATTCGTGCGCGATACTTTATCCACGAGAATGAACAATATTCCATTAAAGAATCCAACGGCGAACTTGCTGTGATCCCTGTCGATTACAGCAATACTGGTGTCACTCTGAAAAACACCGTGTGGTCGTACGGTCTGCATCAGTTCGTGCAGCTCAAACACAATTTACGTATCAGCCCAGAGAGTCTGACCAGCAGTTGCGTGTCGAATTACGCTTATATCGGCAAGTACGGCGATAAGATCTTTGGACTGACAGGTACTTTAGGATCGAAGGCCGAGCAGGATTTGTTGTCGTCGATCTATAATGTAGATTACGCGAGAATTCCAACCTACAAGACAAAATTGTTCGTGGAGATGAAGGGAATCGTCGTACCGGACGATGAGTGGTGTTACGAGGTTACTCTGATGACGATTGGAATAATTCGATCGACGGGTAAAATATCTTGAGTAAATATTTGCGCAAGCAATTGAATAACCAAAAATTTGATTTACATAGGTAGAGCAGTCTTGATAATCTGTAAAACAATAGCCGACTTGATGATGCTGGAAGAGCAGTTCGAAGCGGTGAAAGAATTACCGTGGGACTGCAAGATCAAATTGAAGAAATTTCAAGACGAAGACACAGCTGACGTGACGCAGGAGATGGTATCCCCAGGTGACGTGATCGTCGCAACTAACATTGCTGGTCGCGGTGCTGATTTCAAGACCTCACGAGAGCTTGAGAAAAATGGTGGCTTACATGTATGCGTTGGATTCTGTCCTGACAATGAACGTGTGCGAGAACAGGCTTTCTTCCGTACTTCAAGGCAGGGAAATTTAGGGAGTGCCCAGTTAATTGTCAGGGAGAGCGAGATAAGAAAGCTGAATATTGATGTTTCTAATTTAGATGAGATTGATTTCGATGAGGTAAGAGCGCTTAAAAGCTTTGGTTACATTAGGATAAATAAACGTTAATAAAATTGAATTTCAAGATGAAAAGAAGAATCGACATTAATGAAAGAGAAAGACTGAGTGATATCAAACTATCAAAAGTGGACGTATTGCGCTACGAGGACGCACTGTTCAGTTTATTTTCCGATTTCTGTCAAGAATTAAAGAACAACAATGTGATAACTTGGGGCCATTCGTACTTGATGAAGGACTTGAAAGAGTATTGGGCATTTTGGCTCGAGGATCAAAATTTCGAAGGCAAGCAGTTCTCATTGAAAGATGCCAGTTTCATTTTTTTCAAATTCAAACATCACGAGAAGACAAAAAAGATCGTTGAAGGCTCGATATCGCAGAATCCTTATTACGGAGTGTTGCAAGCCGACTTCTTCTTGAAAAACGACGAGGTTGACAAGGCTAAGGCCTCGTTGATCAACGCGATTTGCTTGAGTAAAAACGCGGGTGTTATGTATCCAGGTAAGAAAAGTAATCCGATGGCATATAGATGGCGTGACTGAATTCTCTTTTACGGTTTAGCGTTTCTCACGTTATTTGACGCGACGCTCGAAGAGAAGGGTCCTCTCCTAGCCAAATTCAAAAGCGTCCTGTCCAAGACTTTCCCTACCAGTAACTCCAACGGCGAGAAGCCCGTGAGCTTTATTGCCGAGCTTCAAGACTACTTGAACATAACGCATGCGGGTTTGAGCGAAGAAATATCCTTCATGGAGAATCATTATTTCAACGACGACTGTAATTACGATTTTCAACGTGTACTTTTGAAACGTATTAACGGACGTGACAATCTATTGGTGAAGCATTTGGCCGCTAAATTGACTACATTGAAGCTTTATTGCAGTAACGTTGAGGTTTTGCTAGAAGCTACCGAAAGTAGCGACGCGCAAAATTTAACGATTAGTCGAAGATTTACGGATTATTTGAAAATATTCAAACCGGATACTAAAGAGGAAAAGCAAACGAAGGATCTTATGACGGAGGCCGAACTGACGGAACTCGGTGAGTTATTATTTTCACCGAGTGGTGTGAAAAACGACAATAGCTTGTAAATACAATTCTGTAAGTAGGCTCCAAAGGAATGAAAACTATTTACGGATTAAAGAAAGTAGCTACGGTGATGGAATCCGTACTAGACAAAGCGAGAAATCAGATTTTCGGAGCTATGACATTGATAGCTCGATCAACGGCATTCCCACCGCTGACTTTTACAATTGCGAATATTGCAAGTGTAATGGTTGCTGAGGGTGTCGCAGTTATTGTATTGTCACTGTTCAAAGAGGCAAATAACATCGACGATCTTGCTCAAAAAGCTGAATACCTCAAAGGTAAATTTATGCTTATCAAGGAATGATTTACAATTGAATTTTCTATTCGAAGATCCATTAGACATCACTCTAATGTTCTATTGTGGTCCAGGTAAATCTTTGAATTACATCGTAAGTCTGATGATCTCGGGCAATCTAAATCTTGATGTCTGCATAAAAATCTTCCACCGTATGGTCAGACTTTACAGAGAATCATATTATCTGCTTGAACACTCAACCGACAATGTTAGATTGCTTAAGAATGTCAATTCCACTCAAATAGCAAGAGATATTAAAACCGTGGAGGAGCATGGAGAATATGGAAATGCAAACTGGACGAGAAGGATTCGTATACCCGAGAGCTTGGCTACACATTTTTTTGATACGAACATTGCAAATACTATTGTCGCGCAGATTGTTGACTTTATTGTGGTAAAGACGGAAAGTGGTGAGCTTGAAAACGGTGAGAAATTTTATTTTACCATTAATTTCTGTAAGTTTCTAATCAAGTCATTGGTTTTTAAAGGTGTTACTGAAAAAACAAAGAAGAAAAAGACTACGAAAAAGTCTGTGTTCTTCCAAGCATCGAAGGACTCGCAAAATATGGCAAAAATTGAGTTCTATTTAGACTCAGTAGCACCAAAGAAATTTGGAGGTTCTTATGACGAAGTTCGCGATAACTTCCCCAAATGTAGTAATTACATTACAATAAACACCGTCCCCTGGGAAGCTTGTATCAGTGGCACGCCTCATTCGTCTATCGATAGATCTCACATGCCATCAATAGCAATGTTGGACCGAGACTACAGAGGATTACAAAAGTTACGATTCGAGAACGAATGTAAAAGCAAGAAAGAAAACAAAGAAGGATCGTACACTGCCACGCAAAGGGAGCTATTAATGAAGGGAGAATTTTGGCAAGTTCTTAAAAATGAAATTGCAGACATAATTGCAGTGTCAAAGTATTACGAGATGAACGGCAAAGATTTTGTAAATTATACACTGGCAGTCACTCAAATGTTGCATTACTGTAAAGATCATGATATTCCGAGTGCGCCAGAATTGGCGCAAAACGTGCAGAAAGGCCGTTTGATTAATCAAGATCAGTATAACGTTATAATGAATCATTTCAAATCGAAACTGGCAATTATTTGAAGCTTACGAAATAGTTCAATACTTTTTGTACATAAGTTTTCCGTATCTGTGATACTGAATTGTTTTCCGTTGTTGTATCTGTAAATTACAATACAGGGAATAGAGAAATGATTTTATTAATATTTTTCCAAGGTTTATTAAATGAATAAAAACACAAAACATCTCGCAAATTCGCTACAAAAGGCACCCAATAGTATATTTCATAAAGTAATAAAATACATCGGTGTTAGAAGACAGTTACAATACTGAAAAATAATGTGTTATAGTATATGTACAGTTTTTTTTTATCTGACATTTATTCAGGATGCAATTGATGCGCACGAGCGATGAACAAAAAGAAACCTCGTGTCTTAATAAATACCTATAAAAAGAAAAGTATCGAGTGACTATCGGCAAAATCTTAAACTTTAATTTTAACCGCCTGATTATGACTGCTATATGCTAACTATTATGCCAAAATCGCGCGACTTTCATTTACATGGCTTTTATTAGTTTTATTATATCTTGGTTCGATCCCAAAATTAATGGACAAGTGTAAAGCTTTTAAAGTTTTTTTTTATGAAAAAAACAGTGCATTTTCTTTATATAATCGTTCATGAATGATTAATGTTTTTGTATGCCAAATTAATTTTGAGATCAAAGTGTAGAATTCGCATAGAAAAATCCGTGTAAAACCCTCAAGAAATTAGATTATCTCTCTGACAAAGCTAATTAATTATGAAGTATTCACATAGGGCGTACGAGAGTCAGTTTAGAATACTTTGGATAGTTTTAATATGACAAGTGCCGAAAAAAGCTCTCTGCGTGTGTATCTTTTTTCTACATTCTACAGTTTTCTTTCGTTACTTGATAGATTTTATAAACAAACGAAACGGAGAGTTAACTTAAAAGAAAATTGGTTTAGATTAATAAAAAGTAAAAAACACTCAATAATAAATACAGTTCGGTCACTAACCACGAGATATAATCGTAGATATCCGGGCGGACCGCTTTTTTACTTTCCTTGTACGAGATTACGAAATAATCGATTCTCTCATCCCTTAAACAATAACAAAATATAAGGACTTTTTTCTTTCCCTTTTTCATATACGTTCATATGAGCGATCGCCGCGTTCAATCGGTTAAATTTTAGAAACAGCTTAATCAAAAAGTCTGCATATAAAAATATTTAAACCTGTGAGAGTTTAGTTTCGAGCAAAAAAGTGCACGAGGACAGAGTTATTAGGATGTATATCAGTTTACGTCGATCGCACGTATGAACAATAAATCGCGAGTTATTCGTTAATTGATCAATCCACAATTAGAGGAATATTAGCGACGACTAAGGGGAAAAAAGTATTTTTTCACTAAAGAAGAAACAAATTTTCACACGCTTTCCGTCATCCGCGCGGGCTGTCTTAGTGACGAGCTTACATTTTTTCTATCGTAAATCTACGAAGACTTTCACATCTTAAGCTCGACAAAAACGATCCACGCGCGCTACAATATTAATAATAAAACTCATATATACGATGAAAAAAATCGAATTTGGCTTTCACTTTTTTACGTTTATAGGGCGTGTTACTACATGTTATAAAAGAGATTTTACGTGCTACAGACGATAAAAATTGTTTTACAAATGACTTGAGGTTAATAATTACAATAATAATAATAATAATCATAATAATAATCGCAATAATAGTTTGTTTTTTCTCATTTATAATCGTTACTTTTGATAAAAATATAAAATATTAGTGAATAAAATTCTTATGAGTAGTTTTATACGAGAAAAATCTTTTTTTTTACCATTTTTTAAGATATATTATCAGGAAAACAAGGTATAATAGTCTATTGGATTACGCACGTTGTATAAAACCTTCGTTATATTACAATATCTTACAAAAAGTGGTACTCATGATCTCTAAGTGTGTGCGCGTGATCGCCACGTGAGGCATTCAACGAATAAAGAAATGCAAGAAATAAAACAAGAAAGATAGGGAGGGGAGGGGAATGCCACATTATCAAATCGTGCAAAAGAAATTAAGTCATTGCTCGCTCGTCTCACAGATTGACTGAGACGTCCTGATCGTAGGGCACGAGGTTAGCCTCCGAGGAGGAAGGCGAGGTAACTGAGGAAGTGACGCTCATCGGCGATTGTAGCTGTGGTGTCGAGTGACCGGTTATGGGTGGTGATGTTGGTGACTCGAGCGTTGAGTTCCAATGACTACGATCCGTACCATCGCCACCGTCGTCCGACACGATCGAGATATCTGCGATTATGCCGCTCTCTGCAAGAGATCATTCGATTTTAATCATCAAATAGAATGTTTTCCATACTGGAAATAAATGTCGAAGCTCACTTACCGACGCTACATTGACTATTAAGTGTGGTGCTTCGATGATGAAGCCGTGGACTGGTGTCCAAGCCCAAATTAAGGGTCGTCGGAGGTCCGCTGCTTCCTCCGCTACTCGAGGATGAACTGACGGATATGACACTGTTGGGTCGCCTGCTGCACCGACTCGAGTCGTCGGTGTTGCTCACTGCGATCGAGTTTCTAAACCTTGGAGCTGCGCAAAAAATGAAATGTGATTAGCAGTCTTGAAAAGGGCTGTTTGACCGTGAAAAAAAAAAAAAAAAAAAAAAACGCGCGTTAACATGCGTACTCTTTGATAATTGGGCCACGCTGATCGAACGATCGTTGATCTGATTAGCGCTGGGCCTGATATCCAGACAAGGCTTGTTACCGATACCCATACTCGACATTTCTGCCATGCGCACTTCTGCAATTGAGAAAAACCGCATTAGTCTCGCAATTGCGAAATTCGGTTGTTAAGACAATTGGATGGGCATTGACCTCGGTTTCTGAGCGCCTGCTTCCAAAGAAGATTGCTAAGCTCCTCGGTCCAAGCCTTTTTGATATCCTCGCTGGCGCACTGTAGCGTGTAAGTGTCGCCGGGTTTTCTCTTTCTAAACCAGATCTCGAACTTGGTGGGCGAGTCGGCGATCACGGCTGTCAGTCCTATATCCGTCGTCTTGATACTGTGCTTGTAGATGTAGATATCGAGATTCTGCAAAAATCGCGGACAAACTGAAGTATGCATCGCAACGAGAGCAGACTAGCTCTGGCTCTTCCTTCTTACCTTCCTGTCGGGGAATCGACGAGCTTTGCTGAACAGTATAAGATCCTCGAAGAGGAACACTTGTCGCAGGCATTTCTTGCCTTTACCCTGCCACACTAGGAATTCGTTTTGCCTGAGCAACCTGCCCTGCTCCTTAACGTTCACCTGCGCCGCAAACAATCGATATAAGCGATCGTTATGCCAGCTGAAAGTGGTTGCCGCGAGGCGCCAGAGATATACTCACATCGCAGTCTCTGAGGGAATCCATGGCAAGCAGATCATTACCATGCCTTAGCTGGAATCTGACCATCTGCTCGGCCGCCCTCAGGTCCGTCTCGCCCTCGACCAAGGGTCTCAAACTCTCAATACCATCTTTCTCGTCTTTACCCTCACCCGACGACAGTTGCTCCGTCAGATCTGTACCCGCCTTGACGAGCTGCTGCAACAGAAGAGCGTACTTGCCCATTCGCTGGACAGGCTTCAGTAGGTAACTGGCCAGATCCATCTTGTCGCCCAACTCCATCTGCTTGGCCTTGAAGAAAGCTGAGCCGTACTCCGCCATCAGAGAGTCCGAGTTGGGCTTGTTCTTGTTGTACAGCGCGTAGAGGTAAAACTTCTTTTCCTGGAACGGAGAATGTCATTTCTGCCATTGGAGGTGAACGTCCTTTTTGAATATATATGAGTCGCCAAGCACGAGCGAGGCAAGCTTACATGGCGTAGGAAGCACTGTCCGACCATCATTGGCGATTGCTCGCACTGCTCGAGCTCGTGGAGGAAGTAGTGGCTGTGAAACTCGTAAATCTTCTCGATGTTGCCGAAGATCACGTTACGCTGGCCTCTCAACGACTGCGGAATATCTTCTCTCACCAGCTCCGGTATATAGTTCTGGCAGCATAAAAAAATGTGAAACAAAATAAAATAAAGTCGAATGAAATCCGATGAAATAAATGAACAATCAAAAGTTGTCTCGTATTTTTCTTTGTTTTTTCGTTCCGCTCTTGCACCGAGATTGCGAGCTTACCTCTATTACGTACTCCAAGGATTTGACGTAGTCGCGTTCGGTCTGTATCATCTCCCTCATTATCAGTAATAAGGTTCTGCAAATGGAAATAGGAGCACGTGTTAAGAGTGCTTACTCGGAAGCTCATTACTTTCGCGGCGGCGGCGGCGGCGGCGTCGACGGCAGCAGCGAAGCTGCGCGAGAGCAATAACAGTTATGCTTCTCGGACTTATTTCGCCTGGCTCCGAATAATTTTCGCGATATCGAGACCCGAGATGGCCTTTTCCTTGGCGGCCAATCAAGCACCGTTGGAGCGCTTGGAAAGCGACGCGCAATTGGGGTCAAACGATAAAATGCGCCTCCTCGGGTTCGCGCGCCGCTCGCTCGTAGAGGGTCGGCGAGACTCACTTTTTGGCCTTCATGCAGTGGGCGATGCTCGGCGCGCGATGCAGGTGCGAGTTGACGGGCGGCTTGACGAGGCGTCGCGGCGCCTGCGGACTGCGCGGCGGCGTCGAGCAGTCGAGCAGCTGCTCGGCGCTCTCGCGCAGCTCGGCGATGTTGTCCAGGCGCCCGTTGCCGCTGCCGCCGCCGCTGCTGCTGTCCAGGGCGCCGGCGTACGAGGCGCCGCTGCTGTCGCTGTCGTCCCAGCTCGCGCCTGAGGGCAGAGCGGCATCGTGAAAGAGGAGGCGCTCCCTTCTCGGGGGCGCGGCGCCGCTGCCGTCTACTCACGCTTGGCCAGCGCGTCGTCCCACGAGTTCGCCGAGTCCGAGTTGGCCAGGCTCCTCCGCCTGGCGGGGCTGCCGGGCGCCGAGCTGGTCCGCGTCATCTCCAACGCCTCGGCGCACTTAGCTCTGGCCAGCCGGCACTGCTCCAGCAGGATCTCGTTGCCCAGCTTCTCGGCCAAGGCCATCATCTCGGCGAAGTGCTCGGGCGGCAAAGGCGGCCTCGCGGCCAGGAACTGCTGGGCCCGTCTCTCGCCGGCCAGGCGCGCCTCCTGCGCCCACTCGTACGCGCGGTCCTGCAGCAGGCAGCATCGGGACGTGTCCTCCAGGTACTCGCGGCGGTCCTCCAGGCGCGCGCCGAAGCCGCGCAGGTGGTGCTTGAGCGAGCGCGCGAGCTCGCGCAGACCCGAGGCCGAGGCTGCCTCGGCTAGGTCGCCTCCCTTGTCCAGGTGTCTCTGTGAACAACGGGGATACAGAGTGTCGCTTAGCTTTGCGCTTGTAGATCGCGATCGGTGAAGGAACGTGCAATTTTCGCAAAATCAGCCTCCGCGCCGTCGCTATCGCCGCGAGCAAACGAAGCGATATATCGGAGTAGGCGCGCGAGAAAATTCCCATCTTTGTCCCGATGCGTCGTAGCCAGCGACGTCACAACCGTAGACAGACGAAGCGTTATCCGACGAAAAAAAATTATTAAAAGCGCTGCGTACGTTAGAAAAGCGATTATCAAACGCTGGAGACGGAGGAGGAAGTTCATTGTACTTCCCCGCTTCGTTTTCGTCCGATTGACGGCATCTGCGGCGTTGCGATCAGACGTTGGATGCATGAAATTATCGACCTCTTTTTCGTATTCCCAGGACTTAATTAGAGGGATCGGGCTAGAATTAGAGACGCACACATGGCGCCGTTGCCGGAGATCGGCTTTTCGATGATAACGCAGTGATGCGTGCCTTGAATTTTCATCGAGGCGCAGAATCGTAAGTTTTCATCCGACTGCCATCATCCAAGGTCTCACTTGGCCGGTCGAACTTTCAACGTTCCGCGTCGTCGGCGTGCTCGCGGAGAGAGATGAAAGGGACATCCGAGGTGGACGAGCCGTCCTGCCGCGCGAGAGCGAATACGGGATCCCGAGCGCGTTCGAATTAATTAAACGAGGCGCTCTCCCACGCTGCTGCACACGCCGGCTGCTCGGTCCGCGTGACGTAACGAGGGGACCGCTGCGCGACACGTGTCGCCGCTTGATTTTCTCCTTCGGCGTTCTATAATGGCGCTTATGCGGGAGGTCGCCGCTCCCGCGGGAAACGCGCTTTGCTCTTTTCGGCGAGAGCTGCCTTGCGCCTTCGCAGTACGAGCGCCGCGCGTGCGTCGGTGGCAAAGAAAACGCGAGCAACGTACGTTCGACGGAAAGGAAGCTGGATGTGTGCTTTTGGCTCGTTTCTTCGCGCTCGAGTGATTTTTTTTTTTTTTTTTCGCCCGGATTAAGTTAATTTGTAAATTGCAGTCGGTATACTTGACACACTCGAACTATTACCTAGGGTGTAGTCAAAATTATCATAACTGTCTGTCCTTTCAAGTCGCTGGGTAATTTCACTCGACAATACTTTCAAAAAGGAATTTTTGCATTTTCCAAAACCGCAACGACAAAACAAAGTCCAACTAAAAGTGGAGTGTAAAGAACTGAAAACGCAACGGGCTAACTCATAAGTTGACATCGTAAGAGCCGCAAAGGGCTCTGACCCTGCAAGAAGGAAGTTGCCTGCCTCTGCAATCACCCGCAGATTTCAATGATGAAGAAGGTCGCGTACCCTCCTCGACGCGATTCTCCCGCGAGCCTCGGGAATTAAACGAAAATTTACGAGCGCGCGGTCGTCCTTTTTTGCTTTCCATCCTCATTCTCTCGGCGCGCGGAATTAGCGGCGTCAGTGTCGGGCGTGGAATCAATTAACGCAACGCCACCGCCACCTCTCGCGCTGCGCAGACGGCCGACAATTAGTCGCATACGCGAATGATTTATGCGGCACGTAGTCGTTCGCCGCGTCGACTGTGGCGCGCGGGCGCGCGACAGCCCAATTACAATTCAGTTGTTTACGCGGAAGTGAGATCGGACCAAAGCGACTGCGGCTGCTGCCGATCGAGTCCCGCTTTGCTAGCTCGATTGGGATTTACGGTGTCTCGTCGTCGATTCGTAGACGGGTACAAGGAAGTGCCGGGCGTCGAATGATCGGCGCGCAATCAAAGCATCAAAACTAAATGAAAATCGAGCGAGTCGTGCACCTCCGCACAATCAACTCTCTTTCTCCTGATAAGACACGTATAAAACCGGTTTCTCTCGAGTCTCCCAAGTCGCAGCTACGCACGCGCGCGCGCTCTACTTTGTCCTTTTAGTTCATTATTATTGCTTTTTAATCGTCACGTGCGGGGAGATACGCGACGTGCGAGACGTTTAGAAAGGCGAGCGCGACGTATAATCGATCGAGCCTGCGGAGCCTCCAACGGGGTGCTTTTCAGCTTTCCTTCCACTCTGCCTCGCGCGTATATTACGTTTAACTACCCGCAAATCCACTCTTTCGTTCTTTCGCTTGTTGCCAGTGATTAAATATTTTGAAAGGCACCGCGAGCAGGGGCGAGGGAGGCCGGATGTTTCGCGTCCTTACACTCCTCGATGCCCTGTTTTATAAAGGTTCGTATGCGTGGATTATTATCGGAGCGCTTTCTGCTTTTTGTTACGATTCCGATTTCCTTTAGCCATTGTTAAATAACATGGCTTGTTTGGAATTGTGAAAGCACTCAAATGATAATCTGGCTAGACAGTATACGCCGACCTATTAATTACAAAACAAATATCGCTTTTTTAATTGAAATATATCCACGCAATTTCCGCATGAAAGCAAGTGTCCCGATAATTTTTTTTTTTTTTCGTAAGTACATCTAAAGCAGATACATGTGACCAAAATCAACCGAATTCGCACACGCGTATATGCTTACAAACAAGACTTTTTAGCTTTCCCATATGATGATTTCCCAATCTCACGTATGGAATTGCGCAAGCAAAGTAAAAATCTCTGTCGCTACATAACCGCCTTCTTATTATTATTCGGACGAAGCAGAGCAATTCGCCTCTAACACGCATTTTATTTCAACGACAAACCAAACAAGCGTAAAAACACGTAACGCGAGCTTGTAACAAACGAAAAGAGAGAGAGAGAGAGAGAACGTGATTCGTCGGACTCGACAGGATGCGCGAGAGTTCTAGATAAGCGCTCGCGAACATATACATTTTTTTCCAATTAGCTGCATCACGCGATTTCGCATTACCTCTTCGACCTTGTAAGTGTCCGACGAGAAAGTGAATCGCCGCTCGGCATAAACGCCGAAACGCTTGGAATTGGTTTGGCCGAGTGACTAGACGCGGCAAAAAAGAAGCGCCGTTTCTAGGCCACAAGCTCCGGCGCAAATCTGATTACCCATTACAGTCGCTCTCGAAAAGCTAGCCCGCGCAAGCGTCGCTCACGAGAGGATTTATGATGTATACGTCGCGCCGTCAAATGTTTTATGTAACCGTTACGCATCGATGACACACAATAAGCCAAGGTCGGGGCTTAATTTTTCAACGGGTGCATAAATTAATGGTACGCTTTTAGCTCTTAGCCTGGAATTTTCGAGGCGGAATTCTTTTCCCTTTCGATTTTATAACTTTTGCAGTGCTCTTTCCAGGAACGTGTAACAACGAATGCCAAAGCGTGCCCCCGCTCCAATTAACCTAATTGCATTGGCGCGCAAAGGCGAAAACAAGAGACGACGGCAATTTCCTTAATGGTTATATTCTTTTGTGTAAACGATCCTCGTGGTGGTCCACGCGCATTTCATTCCATCGTTACGTTTTCCTATTGATTTTCGTACTGAGGCGTTGGACGCGAATTTTCGTTTTCGCATTTCTAGAAAAGTTGTTCCACATTAAACTAATAGATGAGCTTGGGTCACTTCGTCAGTAGCACGGAAGAAATATACTAGCTTCCTTACTGAGTTAATTTTCGAAATTGTCAGTAACTTTCGATTTATTTCTCAAGTTGCGGGTTACGTGATTAGCTATTAACTTATCAATCCGAAAACATATAATAACCTAAAATCAATTTGATTACAAAGCGCTAAAATCAACTGTTGAAATACATCAGCGGACCCCACAACGTTATGAGTTGTCATATTAAAGCTACAAATGCCAAAGTGACATTAAAAGCCTCGTCAACCCCTCCAAATGCTCCGTGAATAAGAACAACAAAAATGTTTGATCTGACACACGAGCTACTGCGGTTCTCCCAAAAAGTGCCCTCAACTCAATTAAACCAAAATCAACTCGCTCCCGTGCGAAGAAAAAAAAAGTCTCTCGTCAAAATCTGAAACCAGTCGACGATCGTTTTTTTGCGAAATAAACGTCTCTCTCTTTCTCTCCCTCTCTCTCTCTCTCTCTCTGCTATCCCTGCTCTCGCGGTTCTCTCTCTCTCTCTCTCTCTCTCTCTCTCTCTCTCTCTTCATACATATATACACGCGCACCGTGGAGCTGGCGCGCATACAGGTCTCTGACCAGGCTGGAATGCCGCGTGCAAGAAAGTTGCACCTACGTGCGTCTCTCTCTCTCTCTTGCTCGCTCTCGCGTGTGTATACAACAACGTACAAATGCGAGCGAGCGCTCGGCTGCGAGAGAGAAAAGATGAGGGACGAGAGCGAATTGACGGGCATGGAGCTTCTTTTTTTTCTTTCTTTCTTCATTTCTTTTTCTACTTTTTGCCATTATCCTCTTCTAGGCTGTTTGTCTGTCGGAGATTATGGTTGGTTGGTTTTGCGAACTTTATTTGTTCCTTTCTTTCCTTTTCTTTTCTTTTTTTGGAGGAGGGAAACTGCACGTAGCTTTTGGTTTATTAGGTATGTAGGTTACGATCTGCTTGCGGGAGGTTTTAGGCTGTTTAAATTGAAATACTATAGGCTTTGTATGTGACGATTAAAAAGTGTTGTTTGAAGTAGGTAATTCTAAAAGATTACTTTCTACTTCCAGTTGGACTTAGGATTGTGATCCAAAAAAATTTCAATCACTTTTATATCGTGTCAAGATTAGAAACGCCATTAAAAAAAATTAAGCGATTCATAAATATAATTGTCGAATAAATTTCCCGAAAACACGTTTGCTCAGAAAATAATTACAGCTGATCACATATCCCAATAAAAATTGCCACAACAACACAGCAGAAAGCGCTATAACGTAAATCAACATCTCACAGCAAATTTGCTAAAGCGCCTCGTGTATTAACGGCGACACGTCTGCGCGCGTATATCCACACTTGCGAAGACACAAAAGCCGAGAGCAATGAAGGGGAGGACATCATCCATCAGCTCAAAGCGAGTGAAAGTGTTTGAATTAGACACTTGGCGCTCAATTGTTTGCGGATGTAACGACACTTGTGCGCGC